CCATTATACCCTTTCTACTTTCTAACTTTGCTATTAAATCCAACACCAAGATACTTCAATTAAGTCCTTGGAACTTTTAAATTTTCTGAAATTGATCATAACGTTTCAAAAACTTATGTTTTAGTCACTAATCCAGTTTTTGGGATATTCCAGACACTGTAAATTAATAATGGTATTGTAAAATCAAACATAAATTAATAATAGTTGTGAATTGCAATTAATTTGTGTTATAAAATTACTACTTAATCAATTTGAGAATTCTTCACAAATAAATGACAATGTATACAATACATCTTTCTCATTTTATATTACATGTGTCATTTTTATGTTATAATTCAACTAATATTTTTTTATTTTCTTTTAGTCATGGGAAAATATTTTAAAAAGGAAAATAATGATAGAGAATTCATGTTCGGTAAAAAAAATTTAGAAGTTAACTTTGAAAATCTTTAAAGGGTCCCCAAAAAAAAGACCAAAGACCATAAAAATATCATCATAATGGTCATTAACAACTTTGAAGGGCTTATTTGTTGAAAGGTCCTTGCCAACCAAAAGAGCACAAGTTTTCTAAGAAGAAGTATAATGATAAATTGTGAAGTTTCAATCCTAAATGGTTTGAAGAGCATAAAAGTTGGTTAGAGTATAATGTATTCAAAGATGCAACATTTTTTACATTGTTACCTTATGAGACATTAATCTAGATGAGAGCAATGAGGAGGTGATATGTTTGTCATCCATGGATATAAGAATTGAAAAGATAAGAACAAGTTACAACTATATGTTGGAGATCCTAATAATGCTCATAATGTAGCTTTGAGAAAATGTGAAGCTCTAATGAATCAGAAACAACATGTTGATGCTGTCATTACATCGTAACCTATTTCTTAATAAAAAATATTAATATTACATATCACAACCTATTTCTTAGTGAACCATGACATTCATGGGGCAACCGTATTTATTATATATATTCATAACATTTTCAGTTTTTATCTTATTTTCTTATCGTGAGAATGTTCAAGGCTCCATCAGCTTAAATTCTGGAAACCTTTTAGGAGAAATCTAAAATGTTAATAGTATCCATAACATTTATCGATTATAACTCATTTTCTTACCATATATAACATTTTAGTGCAACCTATTATGTTACTCCGATTTATAACTTTTTTAGTTCTAATTTATAACATTTTATGCTATGCTTTTACCTATTACTTTTTTTTACTGGTCACATCGTTTATTAGCCTTATTTTAGACATCTCATATCAGACTTCCTGTTATAGGCAATTTATTTTGTAGAGGCATCTCTAGCCAATTCTGAATACAATACAAGATCGACATTGTTGTCTCATCCGATTAAGGAAGCAAGAGAAGAAACTCAAGCTAATATAGAGGGACTGCTGATACAGTTCAACCTAGCCTCACTTGGATGGATGGTAAAGTCAAGGTTGTACATTTGATTGTTTCGATCTAGGAAAGCAACAAGTATCCTGCACAAACAAGAAAGCTAAAAAAAATGGTTAAATGAAAGTAATGAAATGAAAAAATAAATATGGCAACGGAAAATATATATAAGTTGGTGATATGTTTAAAGGAAATGATGAAGTATGGTAATGGAAGTAGAATGAAGGTGATGGAGATGAATATGAAAAGTAGTATCTCAAAGAAGACTCAAAGAAGAACCAATGTTAAAGAACAAAGAACAAAGACCCAGACTTTATATTGCTTCTTTAAGGGATGATAAACAAGGACTTTGACCCACTATCTATAAAGAGATAGGAACCAGAAGTATCAGGGTGACATAGATAGGGGTGACGCCACAAGCATAAGCTTGATAAGTCGATAAAGTTCACTTAAGAACTAAAGAGAGAAACTCTCACAAATATTTGATTAAACAAAGTGAATTCGTTTTTACAAATGAAATGGAAAGCTATTTATAGGCCTAAGAGATGTCTAGGATGCACATACAAGATTTAATGATTGAACATTCATGGATGAATGTTCATCCTTAAGTAGATACAATGTACGTCCCCTATGCAAGTTTATGGACTAATAAAATAAATGAATGTTCATCCATTTAAGTGAATACATCTTCATAGCCGAATTCATCCTCTCTTGATGTGAACATGTTGGTTCATTTCCTTGCATGAATTTGCAGGAATGTTTCATTGTATGTTCGGCCCCCTTTGGAATGCATGCACCAAGTGTGAACGTGACTCATAGGCTCCCTTCATGCACTTGGATTTGGTGAATGAGTTTGAAAATAATGCATCCATCTCCCTTGAATATGAACAAGTCCTTTAGCCTCCTTGTATGATTGTACACGCCATAAATGGATTCATGAAGGTGGAAATGCATCAGGTGTGAACATGGCTCTTCATTTGGTGTAAATCCCGTACTTATTTCCAGCCTGCACTGTCTTAATTAATCTGGGTATATCTTGAGCTCCCAATATCGGATTGATATGATTCAAAGTGTGTTGGAAAGATAAGTGATAGGGGATTAAATGTTAAGAAGACTTCATCACCCAAAGATGCTTGGAACATGTTCAAAAATGACGATCAATCTGACTGACGTGAACTGTCCATCCAACTCTTCAATTGCCTTTAGTCTACTTAGCATCCAATGTACCTAGACAAAGTATGTAAACAAATAATTAGATAGGAATTGAGCTATTATAATTATGAATTCATTTTGCCACCTGTGTTATGAATGCAAATGAGCTAACTATGAATGCATATGCATTGAATGAGTTATATAAAGATGTGAATTAATAAGTCATGCATGAATATCATATATTATACATATAAATGATAGCATATAATATTCAAGAAAAAATTAAGAATAAGATAAACATATTCACGTGACATGTAATGCATAAATGAGTAAATAAATAATAAAATAAGGTAAGCCTCCCTTAGAATCAACAAGGCAGAACGCCCATGAAGTGATCATGTGTTGAAGAAGTTTGGTCCTTGGTATGATCGCATCAACTGCACTAGGATATATTGTCAAGTCATATCGGATATCTAACGAATACGAAAACAAAAGCTTTATCAGCGTGCGGTTGCAGACAATGATGGAGAAGAATTAATAGTATCAAATTAAAAATAATTTGTACAATTTATTTATTTTAAAATAAAATATTTTATTTTTTTAATCATTAAAAATTGTTAATGTTGGAAAGACACTATATAAATATATAATTATCATTTACGAGTTATATCTTGAGAATATTTTAAAATAATATATATCTAAAATATTCGTAAAATAATCTAAATATTTATAACATTTGATATTACATCTAGAATTATATAAAAAAATTCTTAGCATTTATAAGATTAATAGCTAAAATGTTTACATGTATCAATAATCCAATGAACACTAAAATATATAAATATGAAATGGGATTTATCATTGTTACTAGAGTAGTGAAGAGTGTAAAAAGTGTGTTAGAGTAAGAAACTTATAGGTAAATAAGAAAAAATAATGGGGTAAGTGTGTTATATTACAATTGTATTGTGTATTAATAAAAATCTTACATTCTCTTGTAATTATAAGTTTCCTGATTAAATCTTAATTTGTTTTAAGGTATTAGTTCATCACATTGGAATTCAAATTTTCTTTAGATAATTACATATTTTAATAGTTTTGTCTACCATGAAATTTTAGTTGTGTTCACCCTTTATCAAAATTTTATGTGATTAATACATATGTGTTCTCACCCTAAATTTTTTTTCTAGATCCATCGGACAAGAATAAATTTGATGGTGAAACCATTCCAAGTTTTTTTCTCACCCTATGATATTTAATCAATGTTATTATAGTTAGGGATTGATTGAGATGTTAATGAGAAGATTTCTCCTAAAAATTTTATATTCTTATAAAAGTTATTATAAGTTTATCTTGTAACATAAAACTTTGATTATGTCTATAATTATAGCCAAGTATTCAAATTTTTGTCTTGTAACATAAAATTTATAACCACGGACAATGGTTACCTGATGAGAAAGAGGAAGAGAGTTACATGTAAGCAGTTATTTTGTTTTTGGCTTTGATAATCAATTTTGATGATTTGTATGCCCTTATTGATCAAATTATTGTCCCTTTACATGCAAGATAGTGTTTAACGCAAAGATCTTTATATTTTACTTTCAATTTGTAGTGGAGCGCCGTTAAAGTGATCATAAAGAAGTTTTTTTTTTTTTAATTTTATTTTAATGTTTGTAGAGCGTAGAGGAAAAGGAATTAAAGGCTGCATAGCAATTTGCATGTAAATGAATTGTGGCTTGATGTATATTGAATAATATTTTACTCATTGTGCATGCAAAAGAATTTAACACTACATTGGTATATTTTAATAAATGTCTATTAAATTTAATATAAATCAAGGAGGGTTTGATGTGACCAATGTGTTGATTGGTGATAGAATAGTTGATTTTTCTTAAGTAATTCATGTAAAAGAAAATGTAGACGATCTTTTCAACCAAGAAAATATACATAGAAGTGTTAGAACCTTTTTTGACGCAAAAAGCGCATCTCGTGAATTTTTAACTTCTCAAGTTACCAGGCCGTCCTCTCAAGTAATTTCTAGTTGTATTTAGCCGCAGATAGTCCTTCATCGATTTATTCTTTGTGATGGATGATGATGATAGGGATTTTAGTCGAATTTAAAGATTAAATTAGTATTTTATCTAAACTAAGGATTAAACTAATATTTTATCTAAATTTTAATAATAAATTAAAAGTTAATCATATTTATTAACGTATCAATACCCAAACTTAATAAAAAAAAAGGAGTTAACGGGATATGGAAAGTAAAAGTGACCAGAACATGCTTATTTTAAAACTGATAACCAAAATAAAATAGATTGGAAACTGAAGAGACAACTGTGTAATTTACCCTTTGTTTTAACTATAAAAATCGAGCCCTACTTGAACTTACTATGCTCGCCGTCTCCTGCGTTTTCTTTTCCACTTTTTATTTCTTGTTTCCGCTCCCTACACTTTCTCCTTTCTCTGCTTTCACCAGATCGAAGCGAATAATCAAACAAACATATTAAAAATAAAAAATATTTATTTTTCACAAATTCGCTCAAAACTCTCCTCCAGAAACAATGGCCGTTCAGCGGTTAGACAGAGGCGATCTATGGAAGAACAAGGCTCGCGTCTTACAACTCCAGCTCAGGCAGCGCTTCAGGGTGGCCGTTGATCGCCACCGCCATTCGGTGTTCGCTGACCGTTACTTCTCCTCCACGGTTCAACGCTGGCTCCGTCGCTTCCGCGACTTCCGCCGTGATTCTCTCCCTTCTTCCTCCGCTTACTACCGTAAACGAGGTCGCTTTCCCCGCTCTGATTTCCACGTCTTCGATCTATTTTATGAGATATTTTTGCTTTTTAGGGAGCTCAAGTTTTCCCCCTGTTTTTTAACTTTTGATAATTAACACTATAGAGAAAAAGAATGCCACGAATAGTTGTTTCGAAACAAAATTATAATTTGTTCGCCCTCAGTTCAACTTTTTTTGATCTCATAATTTGAACTTTTTAAACTTATTTGAATGTGTATTGTTAAAAATCTTCGAATTTTTAGCTGATCAATTTAAGTTGCTGGCCTTGCAGTGACCAAGGACTGTAACGCGGAGGAGGATTCGGCTATTTTTCGAATGCTTCAAGCTGTAGCTGTTCCTTTGATTGGAAACGTTTGCCATGTTTTTATGAATGGTCTCAATCATGTCCAAGTATGTAATTAAGAAAACTCTATTGTGTTAATTGGCATTTATTTGACAGTTTCTAGGATTTGATACAAGTTCTCTAATGTGACAGGTTTATGGCCTTGAAAAATTACACGATGCCTTACTTAATAGACCCAAGAACAAGCCCCTTATAACGGTATAATCTATGATTTTTGCTATTTATCTTTTTTAACTTTTGTCTCGTTCACCAGTTTTATGTATGATCCTATTATTATATTTAGCATATGCGGATGAATGAATGTTTATTTGCAGGTAAGCAATCATGTTGCTTCTGTGGATGATCCATTTGTCATTGCTTCACTGCTTCCTCCCAGAGTTCTTCTCAATGCTGAGAACTTGAGATGGACCCTGTGTGCATCAGATCGATGCTTCAGCAATCCCGTTACATCTACATTCTTTCGTTCTGTAAAGGTGTTGCCTGTGTCTCGAGGTGATGGGATTTATCAGATGGTATGCCTTTTAAATTTTGACATTATTCTTATCATGGAACAGTGTGTATTAAATGCCGAGTAAGTTGATAACCACACATGCAAGTGCATATGAATTTGGAAGCCTTGCTTTGCAGAATTTGTGGTCTGCATTGTTGAGATGAGTGACATTCAAGTGAAGGAAGAGGAAAACAAAGAGGAGTGACATTTGAACTTCTTTAAAATGGATATGATTGCTGATGTAGTAGTTTGATTGTAGACACATTCTTCAGTTTTATGAATGTGTATGAATGCGAGAATATATCGGTTTACATGCACGATTCATATTGTTTAGTGCCTTGAGATTTTGTTTCCTTTTCCGGACTTCTTATGATGCATAAGTTATGTAATATGTTTGAGACCCTAGATATTTGCACCTTTATCGACAAGTTTCTTGTATGGTATATTAAGGTTAATCTGCATGTATACGTCTTTATTACTTAAACGAGTGGCATCATGCTTATTTCATCATTGTAATTCTAATGTAACAGGGCATGGACATGGCCATTTCAAAACTGAATACTGGTGGATGGGTTCACATCTTTCCAGAAGGCAGTCGTTCTCGAGATGGTGGAAAAACAGTTAGATCTTCTAAGAGAGGCGTTGGCAGGCGAGAATTATTCTCTTTATATGTTTTCTTACATCAGGAAATAAACAGATCCGTCTCCTGCTGAAATCTGTGTTAAAGAGATAATTTGTTCAATAAATGGAACTTTTATCTTATTTGTTGCATTTCTTGTTAGTTAAAATGTATTTTTTTTAAAACATAATTATGATGATACAGGTTGGTTCTAGATGCTGACACTACTCCATTTGTTCTGCCATTTGTTCACACTGGAATGCAAGATGTTATGCCTATAGGAGCCAATTTCCCGAGGATTGGCAAGACGGTATGTACTTTTTCCATTATCCTCTTTGCTTAATAGGCATTCTTTTGAATTTCACCTGCAACGGTCGAAGTTTGATTATCTCTTGTGACTTTGCACATTTACTTGTTGGTTATATTGAGTTTTATGTCGTTGATTACATTTCCCACCAATTAGTGTTGTGGCGAATTCATTTATACATGAACTTTGCAGGTGACGGTTCTAATTGGAGACCCTATACATTTTGATGACCTGCTCAATGTCGAAGACACCCCAGATGCATCAAGAGGGAAATTATATGATGCCGTTGCATCTAGAATCGGGCACCAACTGCAGAATCTAAAAGTAAAAGTCGACAAATTAGCACTTGAGCAATATATCGAATTAGAAAACCTTAACAAAGATGGTGCAGAATGTGCAGCCAATATCTTGCACCAGGTAGATTGGGATCCATTCGGCTTAGGAAGCCATGAATATATGGGAGATGAACCATCGGTAGAAAAAATCCGAGCTCAAACAAAGCGGAATGATATCGGTCCCGAAGAAGCCACTCCGGATAGGTACCTGAGAACGGGATTTTCTTGTGAAGGTGGGATCGGTTCAAGGATTCGCAGTTATATGGATCCAACTGAATTAATGGGATTCGCGGCGAGAGGTTTGCTGATGAACCGGAGATCGAAGGAAAATTATTCGAACATTGGTGACATACGCCCACTGAAAATTTGGAGACGGTTTTTCGAAGCTAATTTGTTACAACAATGGAATACATGTTAAATTCCATTGCTGGAACATGTAAATAAAAGATTTGATGTTTAGTAACTTTGTTAAACAGCAGTTTTGATCTATGCTAATATAAATTTCCAGCCATTTTATTTCAAATTTAGCAATATTTATCTTAAATATAATATAATATAATATAATATAATATAATATAATATAATATAATATAATATAATATAATATAATATAATATAATATAATATAATATAATATAATATAATATAATATAATATAATATAATATAATATAATATAATATAATATAATATAATATTATACCCGCTAAATATTTATGAAAAATGCTTATAATTGATACATATTTATATTTTTGAGTTTGTCCTAGAATAATGTTTAGAAGCGTTATTTGTTTGGTTTAAAAATTTAATATATCCATATAAATTGAGCGACTTCAATGATAATATAATTGTTATTATTTATTAAGGTCTTAATTTTGAACATTAGAAATATTAGATGTGTGATTGTTTAATGTCAAATGATTAAAAATTATTTTTGAATAGATATTGCCTTTATTTACTTCAAATTAATCAAAAAAAATTCACAGGTCAAATCAAAATTTAATTTGATTATTTCATCAGATATTTAGACGTTGGATTTATTGAGTTTTCTAAACTTTGATTATTGGTTAACTAAACGAATTAATCAAAGTAATTGAAAATATTAAATATGTATATATATATTAAATTTAGATACCTTAAGAATTCAGATTTTATTATTTTTAATCAATTTTATTAAATTTTTAAAATCTAACCGAATTTAGATCTAAATGAAAAAAAAATACTTATATTAAACACAAATTAATCTAACTAAAAAGCGTATGACAATTTTTGATTAATTCAAAAATTAATCAAATTAATTGAATTTTATTTGATTTAATTAAGAACTATTAAAAAATCAATACTAATAACAGTTTAAAAAACCAATTAATTTAATTTTAAGACAAAAATGTATCAGAGGTCCCTATACTTTTAAAAAAATCAATGTCATCATCGTATTTTTTTTCTCTAAATGTGACTCTTCGACTCAGAAAATAAGTTCAATGTGACCATTTGACCAACGCTTTTGGTCGTTGACTATTACAGTACTAACGTGACAGTTCACGATGGTTGATAACGTGATGAATAATATGGTAGATGAACTAAATTGGTAACTCAAACATGGTAAATAAATTAACACATCAGTATCGTGGACTACTACGTCAGTATTGTGAGCTACCACATCAATGCCGTAATGATCAAACGATGAAAAAATTAATAAAAAAACTATATTAAATTTATTTTCTGGATTAAAGAGGCTTACTGATAATAAAAGTAATACGGATATCACACTAATTATGCTTGAAACGCGATGCTACCCAAGTGCATCTGAATTCTGATCCCAATAAGAGATAAATTAAACAAAAGATTGGGCTGTTCTGAGAAAGAATAAGCCCAATAGTTACCGGAGAGGCCTAAATGAACAATTCACCGCCTGCGATGTCTTCCTTTTCGTCGCGAACAAGAGAACTATAAAGATCTTCATTTTTTTGTGGCCTCTTTTACCTATTATCTCCGCCTTTCATTTTTTTCTCCATTCGAACTGCTTTCTACGCTTTGTCGGACTCATCTCTCGATTGAAATATCCGTTCTTGAAAACCGTCACCAATGGCGACCGCTATGGTGGAAGATTCGACCTTTGAAGAAGACCAGTTGGCTTCCATGACCACCGATGATATCGTCCGAGCTTCCCGTCTTCTTGATAATGAGATTCGAATTCTCAAGGTCCTTCTCCATCCTTGCTCTCTCCCCATCTCTATCTCTGTTGATTATTATTATTTGTTTCGTATGTCTTTAGGGTTTTAAAATCCACGACTATCAATTTTAATAAAATGTCGTCTTTCAATTATTCTATGTTAGTCGGGTCTTTGTTTTGGATATTGATTAACCTAAGTATGTTTTACAATTAAGGGAAGGTTCTTTAGTTTCGTGGTAAATTTCGTGGTTTTATTAGAAATGTGAAATCTTCTTGCTTGAAGCTAAGCAATTTCTGTTACACCGAAAACTTTTGGTCTTTCGGAAGAATGTAGCTATATTTAGCGTGAATTTTCTGATTTTTGTTTTAATTGGTTTCTGGGATTGAAGGAATGCAAAGGACAAATCTCGAGTTGGATTCATACAAGGAAAAGATTAAGGAGAATCAAGAGAAGATTAGCTTAACAAGCAGCTGCCCTACTTGGTCGGCAACATTGTTGAGGTAAATCTTGCATCTTTTTTTTTCTTTCGTTCTTTCTTTCTTTCTTCATTTGTGTTCCAGTAATCTTCTATTGATTCTGCACGGGTATATATGATTATGAATTTAAACATCCTCAAAAGAGTATTCAAAGGGGTAGCAGTAGCAGATTAATAATGAGCCATTACTGATGTAGTTATATCGTAGAAAAGCAACCTTGTGCCTTCTATATACTGATGTATTTTTTATTTTTTTAAAAAAGTATTTTCATGCACTTGGAGGTTCATATCCCATGCCCATATTCAAAAATATGCCTTGACATGGGTAAGAAACATGGGGTACTTGAAGGAAAATGAAGAGTAGGGGGTCACATGGTGTCTGCTTGGGTGCTTTAATTTTAAGTACAATTTCTTTCAGATATTGGAGATGAATCCTTAAGCTGAATAAGAGGAGGATGGTGCCAACATTGATCTAGACTCGCAAAGGAAGGGCAAATGTGTTGTGCTGAAAACTTCTACTCGGCAGGTAGTGGAAGGGCATGATTTCTTATCTCCTACTTGTAAGAAATTTGATAATCTGTTCTGTTTTCTATAGTGAAATTAGTTATCAAATATCAAATTAAGATTTTCTTGATATTGTTGAAAAGAAAAATTGGTTTCATCATGACTTGTTTTTTAGTTACTACAGACCATCTTTCTACCTGTTGTTGGACTTGTTGACCCTGATAAATTGAAACCTGGTGATTTGGTTGGGGTCAACAAAGACAGCTACTTGATATTGGATACTTTACCATCTGAGTATGACTCCAGAGTAAAGGCTATGGAGGTTGATGAGAAGCCAACTGAGGGTTACAATGATATTGGTGGCTTGGAGAAGCAGGCAAGTTTTTTTTTTTTAATTCCCACCACCTCTCTCTCTGAGAATATTATTTCATAACTATTAAATTATTGTTTAATGTTGTTTTTCTTATGCTTGTTCCTGGATCAGATCCAATAACTAGTTGAGGCCATTGTGTTGCCCATGACTCATAAAGAACGATTTCAAAAGCTAGGCATTTGCCCACCTAAGGGAGTGCTCTTATATGGACCTCCTGGCACTGGGAAAACACTGATGGCTCGCACTTGTGCAGCACAGACCAATGCTACGTTTCTGAAGCTGGCAGGCCCCCAACTGGTTCAGGTATTAACTCTTGTACCCTTTCAACTTAGTTCTTTGTATTTCAACCTTGTCTACTCCTTTCAATTCATATTGCAAATATTTTTTTGCCATACTCCTTGGTTAGTAGAACATTATAGATTTTTTTAATATTTAACCTCATTATGTTTTGATTTTATGTTGGCTTGCTTAGGCTCTATATTAAGTAACATAAATGTAATGCATGTAGATGTTTATTGGAGATGGAGCAAAACTTGTACGTGATGCTTTTCAGCCTGCAAAAGAAAAATCTCCTTGCATCATTTTTATTGATGAAATTGATGCAATTGGCACAAAGCGATTTGATAGGTAATGCCATATCTTAATTTATTCATAAGCAAATTTGTTGAGGCTGGTAGTGGCATTTATTTGTGGATAGATCCACTGATTCTTGTTCTGCCTGTTATCATTTGCAGTGAGGTGAGTGGAGATAGGGAGGTTCAGCGAACAATGTTGGAACTGCTCAACCAGCTTGATGGCTTCAGCAATGATGAACGCATTAAGGTTTGCCTTGGCATGATTTTTTTGGGTATTTATTTGCTAAAATATAAGTGATCCATAATGTGTTGTAGGTCGTAGCAGTAACCAACCGAGCTGATATTCTAGATCCTGCTCTGATGCGTTCTATTCGATTGGATCGTAAAATTGAGTTCCCGCATCCCACTGAAGAAGCAAGAGCTCCAATCCTTCAGGTATGTCTTTCAGGGCCACCACCAATTCCACGGATTCTTACCTGGGATGAATTATAGTGAATACTTGCATTGATTTTGTAGATCTACTCAAGGAAGATGAATGTCCATCCAGATGTGAATTTCTAGGAACTTGCTCGGTCTACAGATGATTTCAATGGAGCACAACTGAAAGCTGTTTGTGTGGAGGCCGGCATGGTAGCTCTTCGCCGTGATGCAACTGAGGTGCAGTTGTTAATTTACTTGAAATTTGTTTTTGGCAAGAAGAGCTATTAGGGTGTTTCATAGTGAATGGGGGTTGGGTGTGCATTTGCAGTTGCTGTGCATATTAAAATGGGTTTTGGATTTTACAGGTCAACCATGAAGATTTCTATGAAGGTATCATTCAGGTACAAGCCTAAATTACTACGCTTGATCAGAGACAACATTTCTCTGGGAGAAGGGCATGTCCAATTATATCGTCTTAGGTTTGCAGTTTGCTGATATATTTAAAGACTGCCATGCTTTTGTACACAAGTTTTTGGAAAAGGATGGTCACAACAGTAACCAGGTTTAAGAATTCATTAATTTTATCAAATTTAAGTTTAAAAAACATTTCTCTAAACTAAAATTTGAATTCGAACCCATTATTTTCTTCCAAAAACTAGTTAAAAAATAAACAAACAAACAGTGAAAATAAATTTTAAAAAATAAAAAAAATAAACTTTGTTACCTGTGGCAAGAATCGAGATTGTGATGAATGGGCTAAATTTTTTTAATGATGCATTGAGAAAAAATAGTTCGAATAAGGCCGAGTTAATACCACCATGTGACATAATTTTTAGATAGGGCGAATGTTACATTATCAAGTTAATACCACTATAAGATATATATAATTTTGGATGGGAAATGCATGAAAAAAAAGAGTTCCCCCAAATTAGGTTTTTTTTCTTATGGACATTGTAAGTTGTTCAAACTATGTTATGTTATCTTAATAAAGTTGCTCGA